ACCTGATGCAGATCTACCTGATCTACCTGATGCTGATCTACCTGGTACAGATCTACCTGATACTCACTGAGAGGGGAAGCCATGAGCTCGATCAGACGCCGCTGTAACTGGACGAGCCCTCCTCTGTGGAGACAGACACCACGTTAATACACTGAGACCCTCATTACTGAGACCCTCATTACTGTAACTACAGTCTCATTACTGCAACTACAGTCTGATTACTGTAACTACAGTCTCATTACTGTAACTACAGTCTCATTACTGCAACTACAGTCTGATTACTGTAAGTCTCATTACTGTAATTACAGTCAAGAGAACATCCTGCTTCGTAGTAACCCCCCTGGACTCTGCTCAGCGTGTTTGTTTTTTTTTTTTTATTTGTTTACCTTGAACAGGTCAGCGTGTTTGATGTAGATGCGTCCTCTGGTCCCGCCCATCCCCAGCGCCCTGTAGTGACATCACAACAACATGATGACATACTTCCTGTTCAGCTGTTTCTCAGGACAAAACTAATAAAGTTGTGTGTGACCTCACAACACAACACGTGTTCGTTGTTTGAAGTTGACTTGATGTTGACTCACTTGTTGGCTCTGGAACCCAGAACAAACGTGCTGCCTTCATTCAGTCTGGAGGGTTCCCACTGAAACACAAGTTATATTATAAAGAAGTTATATTGTTTACATCCATCAGACACATGGATACATATTTGCAAACTATCACACATCAGTGTCTGCTAGGAAAAGCCTCCCAATGAAGATATCATAACATAAGCATTGCATCAGAACAGCATCTGATGGACCCAGAAGAGGCCCTCGGACTCTCAGTGGCTCCTCGTGATCTTTAATGTTTTAGAAGGTCGACTCACCTTTGGACCTTCTTTCTTGATGGAGTCAGACTTGGGCTTTGCTCTGAGGAGAGACACACAGTCAGGTGGTGCAGAAAACACCTGATGCAGATCTACCTGATCTACCTGATGCAGATCTACCATATGCTGATCTACCTGATCTACCTGATGCAGATCTACCTGATGCAGATCTACCTGATCTACCTGAGCAGATCTACCTGATGCAGATCTACCTGATGCAGATCTACCTGATCTACCTGATGCTGATCTACCTGGTACAGATCTACCTGATACTCACTGAGAGGGGAAGCCATGAGCTCCTACAGTCTTTCTGACTACAGTCTATTACTGTCATTACTGTAACTACAGTCTGATTACTGTAACTACAGTCTGATTACTGTAACTACAGTCTCATTACTGTAACTACAGTCTCATTACTGTAACTACAGTCTCATTACTGAGACCCTCATTACTGAGACCCTCATTACTG